GCTCTTTAATCTATTAAATCGTGCATATTTTTATTTTTACGTTTCAAAGCTGCAACTTTTAATCATGAAGATTAAATGTATATGTTTTATTTAACATAAAAGACTTGATTGTTTTATTAAGTTTACTGTTTTTAATATTTGCATGCTTCTTGTGACTTTGATTTCTTTGAACGTCTGAACCTGCCCGTCGATAGCATGTGCACGCGCCGTGTTTAGAAAATAAATGAGTGAAAGTTTTTAGAAAATGGTATGCAACATTTGGTTGAAAATTTGAGCCGTGGATGATTAATTCAATGTATGCGCACTCAATCATCAATGTCAGTGTGTGCCTTGTGTGGCGCGTTATGTTTAAAGCTTGTGCAAGTGTCGACGGCCACTTTCAAATCATATACAATAGCGAGATTGATAAAGATTTATAATGTTTTTCTATGTATTTTTTCGGAACACCAGATTTTCATTTTTCGCGGCCACCAAAAATTGAAATCAGATGATTTTGGTGGCCCGATCGGGGCCACTGCCAAAAAAAAAGTAGTGTCGGGCCTTGCCTATACATATAGCACCAGTTCTCGTCTGCGTGCCCGTGCGCGCCGTGTGCTTGCGCGCTGTGTGTGCTGTGGAAGTGCGTTGCGTGTGTGTGTATGTGTTATGTGCTTGCGTGTGTGAGTGTGGATAGTGCGTGGCAGTGTGCGTGCGTGTGATGTGTCTGTTGTGTGGTGTGTGTGTGTGCTGATTGTGCTGTGTGTGTGTGTTGGTGTGTGCGTGCTGTATGTCGCGTGCCGGGTGCGTGCCGTGCGTGTCGTCGGCGTGGCATGCGTGCGTGCCCTTGCTGTGTGTGCATGTGTGGTCTGTTGTGGGTACCGTGCTGTGTTACGTGGGCTGTGTGTGTGTGGCGTGCGTGGTGCGCGCTGTGTGTGCTGTGGATGCTGCGTGCAGGTTGGGTGGTCGTGGAGCATGTGCGTGCGTGTTTGTGTGCGTGTGTGTTGCGTCGCGATGTGTGCGTGCGTCGTGTAAGTAGTTGTGCGCCCGCCCCACCTGTGTGATGCGTGCTGTGCGTCGTGCGTCGCGTGCGCGTGTCTGTGTGTGGATGTGGCTGCGCGCGCGTGTGTGTGTGCCGTGCGTGTCGAGCGTGCGTGCGTGTGGCGTGCGAGTCGACCTGCCGGGTGTCTGTGTGTGATGTGCCGATTTGCTGCGCGCGTGTGTGTGCGTGCTGATGGTGCGTGCGTGCGCGCTGTCTGTGTGTGATCGTGCCCGTCGCGCGCCGCGTGTGTGTTGTGCGTTGCGTGGTTAGTGCGTGCGTGCGTGTCTTACAGAGATGGTCAAGGCGTCGCCTTGACACGTCGCGGCTGCGTGCGTCTGTCATCGTTCTTTCTCCCGTTTACACAGACGATGCTGATCACGCAGGAAATGATTCAGGCACTCTACAGCGACCAGTCTGAGGCGCAGCTCGAGGCAACCCAGAAATTTAGGAAATTATTGTCGAAAGGTGAGAATTTCAGATTGGAACCTAACTAGGTGTAACTGTCAGGAAAGTCGGCTGAGGATTTGCGAAAATTATTTTTGGTTTTTACTGTCAAAAGGTTTTAAGGCCGAAACGCATAACGTGCGTGGGTCGTATTGGTGAGATTTCAAATTGGAACTTAACTCGGGAATTTGTCTGAGGATTTTGGAAATTAGATTCGGTTATGATTGTCATAAGGTGGGGCGGTGTCGCGTGTAATGTGCGTGAATCAAATTTGTCAGTATGTAAGATTAGAGCCGGAGAAATTCTGCTAAAACGAGGGTTTGGGAAGATGAATTGAGGGTGTTACTGTGGGAGGATGGTACGTATGTGCGTGTTCGTCGCATTTGAGAAAACGTTTGATCATTGAAACCTTGCTCAGAAGTTCAGCGGAAAACTAGATTATTTGGGAAAAGTAATTTAGAGCTTATTGTTTCATAAGGTTCATAAGGTTCATAAAAAAGGTGTGGAAATATTGTGTGTCGTTGTGCACTCACCGCGTTGTGTATGTCACGGTTTTTTAGAAATAAACGCCTACATGTTGACCTGTCATGTGCGGACTAGACGTTAACAAGCAGACATGTTGTTTGTGGACTAATGAGGGAAAGGCCAGGGTATCAGCCAGGAATGAGTATTGTGGGAGTGCAGAACAAATATTTGAGAGTGCAATTTTTTTGTATACAGTGTCTTTAGATCAATACTTTAGGCCGTGCTACACATTTTTGGCCGTGCAGTTTCAAAACTGACCGTGCAAATCACGGCTGCACGGCTCGCTGGCTATTACGTTGGGAAGGTCCCTGGAAGGGGGTTACATGGTTATTTTGGAAAAATATAACACCCATCAATCTATGTCATTTTTGTGCACGTTATTTTCACTTTTTTATGAAGAACAGGTAAAGAATTGGGGGGAAAAAACCAGGAATATAATACACATTTTGTGCACTTAATTTCCACAACAGGAAAAGAATGAATGGAAAAAAATAAGAACATAAATATAATAAAAATCACAGCTGAAAATCAGGGCAGGTTGATTAGGCAAAGGATGATTAATCTGAATTGATTAACCCACATCGGAGCTTTTATGGCATGTTTGTTTGCAGTAGGAAATTTAGAAATGTCGTAGGATTTATTGGACGTTGCAAAATTGGCTTCAAGTTTGAATGCGTACACTACACCTAAGGCCACAATGAAAAAATCTTTGTTTGCCCTTACCCGACCCAGGCTGAAAAGTTTGGGTAGGTAGAGGCTTTTTTGGAGGGTTGGGGTCTTTTTTACAAATTCAGCATGGTGTCTACATGCTCGGGTGTGCTTGTGTGGAGATACCTTTTATGTTGAATGTTTGTTTTGCTTGGTACATATAATGTATTGCCTACAGATTTATATAATGTACAATGATACATGATTTGTAAAAAAAAATGGAAAAGATAAATAAAAAAATTTTAGTCGGCCCCTTTTTGGCGGGTTGGTCTAGTGAGGGCAAACACACAATATTTTTATTATGGCCCGACCTGACATATGCATATACCTGACACACAGTATATATACACCGATATACCTGACAGGCTTTGCCTTTTCACTGGGCCGATCGGCCCAAGCCCCGTAAACAGCTCTGTGTCCAGTGTCGACGGCGCTTTTTTTCCATCCCCGCCAAATTTTGAGATTCCGAGAATCGAAAACGAAAGTCTAAATAATCGAGACACAAAAATAAATTCATATATACCAAATAGTAGGGAATAAGCGTAGTGACAATACATGAAGGTAACAAAGCTTTTATTACATAATTCATCAGTTTAAAAAAATCGGGCCCCGTCTAGAGAAAATCGGCTCCGTTGTATAAATGACGGGGCCTGCTTTTTCAGGCCCCGTAGTTTTCTCAGACGGCAAAGTCTGACCGGGGGGAGAACTCTATCAGTGTTGAGTCTGTTGACTACTCTCACAGTCTTCGAATTTAGCCGGGCGTCCGACGCCTGAGACGTGTAGAAATCTCGGCAGGCATGTAAACATTGCAAGCTTGACAGGCCCCTGTTTTAAAGTGATTACGTCACCGTAAATAGTAAAAAATAAAAAAAAAGTAATTCTGTTCACTTTTTATGGTTAAATTGCTGCATTATACTTCCTGTTTTACTATATTGTTCGATGTGAACATACACTCGTGACTCATACATAGCCCATAGCAAGCAATTAATGTTGGGAACATTAATATCAAATCGTTCAGGTTTTTTGGATTTTTAACTAGTTGAGAAACAATCTTATCAGGTAAGAATTTGACGATATGTTTAGTGACTTTAGTCCCGTTAGTTCTTACTTTTAATGTAAAAAAATTGGTGAATTTTTTTTTTTACAAATTTTACCATAGAAAATTCGTGATGTAGTCAATTTAAAAACGTATAAAATACAATACAACTGGCCATTACCTAAAGGTTTTTAATTTAAAATCACGAAATGTTAACACCAAGAACGGAATAGCGTCTAGAAGTTTTCTGGTGTACCTGTTCTTTACTCGACATTCCAGAAATATTCCTGCAAAATTATATATATATGAGCAACTAGAATGTCATTCGGGCATGTACATTTTTAGATGATCGATTATAATCGAAAGTCAGTCGTTTGCATTCGTCGTTCAGTCGTTACTTCATACTAACCTACACCAAATATAAGCAAGTATATATACTGAACATTACATACTGTAGAATATTGTATTATAAAAAATACTGTATTATATGTGTTACATGTGATACTGTCATACTGTCATACTGTGATACTGTCATACTGTCATACTGTCATACTGTCATATATGTGTTAATTATGATACATGATACATTTCAATATCTGGTAGCCGCGATCAATAACATTCAACCNGGCCGCTATCTAGCAATCGCACGCTCTGATTGGCCGCTATCTAGCCATCACACGCTCTGATTGGCCGCTATCTAGCCGCCGCACGCTCTGATTGGCCGCTATCTAGCCATCACATGCTCTGATTTGCCGCTATCTAGCAATCGCACGCTCTGATTGGCTGCTATCTAGCCATCACACGCTCTGATTGGTCGCTCACCTGCGTCTGCACGTCGTCGCCGGTGACGATGTTTCCGACGGCCCTCAGCGCAGCCGAGACAACGCACTGCTGGTTGTGCCTGCGCAAGCAAACGTAAACAATCACCGCCAGGTGGCGCAGGCAGCACCGCTCGTTGAAGGGGGAGGAGGGGGGGGGGTGATCACACGCACGTTACGTACTTGGGTAGATTTACAGCACAAACACAATTAAAGTGATTACGTCACCGTAAATAGTAAAAAATATTTCCACTTTTTCACAAAATATAAGTAATTCTGTTCACATTTTATGGTTAAATTGCTGCATTATACTTCTTATTTTACTATATTGTTCGATGTAAACATACACTCGTGACTCATACATAGCCCATAGCAAGCAATTAATGTTGAGAACATTAATTCAAATCGTCCAGGTTTTTTGGATTTTTAACTAGTTGAGAAACAATCTTATCAGGTAAGAATTTGACGATTTGTTTAGTCCCGTTAGTTCTTACTTTTAATGTATAAAAATGGAAATTTTTTTTAAACAAATTTTACCATAGAACATTCGTGACGTAATCCCTTTAACGGTTGCTGTTTTTGCAAATAATGCGATTAACAGATTATGTTTTTATAAATAATGCAATTATCAGAACTACATTAGGGGCTGAATTAACTCCCCGACTACATTGATTTAACGAACAGATGCAATTAACAATGCTTTTTTTCCCCCTAACAGCTTGTTGAACGTATTTTGGGGCTAGCTACTAAAGTATAAAACTAGAGAGATTGCAGGAAGTTTATATAAATGTCGGAAAACCTAAATTACCATCGCATAGTGCAGTGAATTGAACAACGAAAATTAATGAACCATTTTACGATCAAATCCTCTGCCGTAGGGGAAAATATATTGAACACTGATCATCAGACATCGACATTTCGGGCACTGCCTAACCATTTTCTTTTTTATTATGTTTAAAAAAAAAATGTTTTACAGTGCTGATTTGTACTGTATTACTCAGAAATTTTATTATATTAACTGCTCAACACTATTGCATCTATCAGATTTTTTCTCCATGAAAAAGACCGTCCTCAGTACATGTATTTGTATTTGAATTACCGTATATATACCCGCGTAATAACCGCAAATTTGGCCTCAGATTTCAACCCTGTATTTGCTCTGCGGTTTATAAGTGCGCAATATCGTGAGGGGAAATATACTAGGCGCAATACTTGGTTACCCGATTCAAATTGAGGTGCGGCTTATAGGCGCCCGCGGTTATTACGCGATCATATACGGTACATGCAATAAAGAGAATATTAATAATAATAATCAAATAATAATAATAATTAAGCGTGTGGGGGAACGAGGGGGCAGCAACAGCAAACGTAACAGCCTGAGAGCCTAGAATACTACTCACATGAGCAGTTCCACGAGGCGGCGGCACACCCCGGCGTCGATAACGGCCTGGATTTTCTCGTTGGGTCCGTCGGAGAGATAGGACAGCGCCCAGCAGACGTCTGCCAGCACGTCCCTGTCACTGTGAAACAGCAGCCGCGACAGCACGGGCAGACACGGCGACACCTACGGGACAGAATAGCAATTAAAATATAAACTAGTAGTCTGTCGGATCGTGATCGCAGTGACACCTACGGGACCGAATAGTAATTAGACTTTCTGATGACATCGAGAGTTAAGTTCAGATAACCTTTGACCCCTCAAGAGGAGGTTAAACATGGATTTGTGACGTCTGTTTAGAAGAATTGACTGGGTTTGCTGTGTAGAATCTATCACATGCCTGGATGTATTGAGGCTACAGTCACCAGTAAATTAAAGCTTAAATGTTGCGTTAAAGAGGTTAGCTCTTAAATTTCGTATCAATTTCTATGGCCATTCTGTACTTCATAGTACATGTAAATATGCCACTGCCTCAGTGGCTACCTCCGTGCATGTATGATGGTGTGATGGTTACAGTGGCAGCTCTCTATTGCAGCTGCAGGGCCTTTTTTGCTAGTAATGGATGAGTGCTTACCTAATTCTGTATTGCAAATAGTTGTTGTACTACGTATATGATGGGAGCTTCCATACTTTAAATCTAAGACACTTAAACTACGCGCCATTCGTGGCACTCATAACACTCCACAGAACATTCCTTGAGAAGGTTCTGAACCATCCCTGGTGCCATTCCACTGTTTCGACGCGTGTATGTGAACACATTGGGACTAACAGGGCTTTTCTAGAATCCCACACTCCACCACAGAGTAACCGCAGTAGACGTTAGCGATGAGCGCTGTCGCTCCGCGCACTTGTTTCGTGAAGACTTGCTCTCATGTTGTTGTCGTGTTGTTTGTTTACAGAGCCGAATCCACCGATCGATGAGGTCATACACACGGGCATCGTGCCGAGGTTTGTCGAGTTCCTACAGCGCGATGAGAACTGCACACTACAGGTGAGGGATGCGTGCGTGAGAGCGTGCGTGTGTGTGTGCGTGCGTCGTGCGCGTGCGTGAGTGTGTGTGCGTGCGTGCGTGCGTGGGTATGTGCGTGCGTGCATGTTATTTTAGTTTGAAGTGCCATGGGTGCTGACGTGTTGTTATTGTTATTGTTATTGTTATTATTATTGTTACAGATTGAAGCAGTGTGGGTGCTGACATGTTGTTATTAATTACCTCCACCAAGGAGGTTGTTTTCGCCCACGTTATTTTGTTTATTGGTTTGTCTGTCAACAGGATATAGCTCAAACAAGTGAACGGACCGATTTGATGAATTTTTGGACGGGTTGGTTTTGGGCCAAGAAACCAATCGATTAGATTTTAGTGGTGATCCGGACCCAGGATTTTTTTCTTTAATTTCTTTTTTTGTGGGGAAGACTTCGGATGCATTCAAAATTCATCAAAGAAAAAACTGGTGGGCTAAAAAAACCAAATCAATTAGATTTTGGTGGTGATCCGGATCCAGATCTGGATCCAGGAATTATTTTTTTGTACCAGCAATACTGTTACGCTGTGGCGGAGGTTTGCTATCTCCGATTGCTCTTGTTGTTATTGTTATTGTTATTATTACAGTTTGAGGCTGCGTGGGTGCTAATGTATGTTGTTATTATTATTGTTGTTATTGTTATTGTTATTATTACAGTTTGAGGCTGCGTGGGTGCTAATGTATTGTTATTATTATTATTATTATTGTTATTATTACAGTTTGAGGCGGCGTGGGCGCTGACTAACATCGCTTCCGGCACGTCACTACAGACGCGCATCGTCATTGAGGCAGGAGCCGTTCCCATCTTCATCTGTCTCCTCAGTTCAGAGTTCGAGGACGTGCAAGAACAGGTAGACATGCGGGCGTATATCTGCCTAAAACACCCTATGGTAGTTGCCGGCCCATTCTATCGGCTCTAACATAAAGCATTTGTGTCATTAATATACCCTATATATATATATATACTATATATTATATAGTATATAAAGTCACACAACGAACACCCGTGTAGATAGAAAACAAAGTCAAGGTATAGAATAAGGGTGTTTAAGTTTAAAGCTCTTAAACCTTTAAACCCCTTACTTCTATACTTGACTTTGTTTTTACTATATATATATATATATATACTATAGTAAGTATATATCTTTTATTCCCTTGTAGTTTTTACAGCGTCAACAAAGCTGAGTATTCCGTATTCTGATGAATTAGTTCGTATTCGGCATGATAAGATCGTGATTACGTATCGTATTCGTGACCTAGGTCATTCGTTACAGCCCCTGAGTATTAACGCATCATCTGCTTGTGGCTATGCGTATGTGCAGGCTTGGGGCGTTGCGCGTACATCGCAGGAGACAGCCCCAGAGTTGCAGAGATACGTACGTCTAACGAGGGAATCTCACACCACTACTGCAGTAAGTAAACCACATGGACCGCGCGATACTGCCGCGATGTCTGAAAACTACGGCCGCGGTCTGCAGAAGTCCTGAAAACTACGGGCCCGCGCGATACTGCTTGGGCGAACGTCTAGTCTTCAAAACTACTGTCCGGGCGATACTTGCCGAGCGAAGTCTGAAACTCACGACCCCGATACTGCAGGCAAAGGGTCTGAAACTTCGGTCGCGCGATACTGCCAGCCGAAGTTGAAAACTTAGCGCGACCCCGCCCGCAAGACTACGGCGGAAGTCTGAAAACTACGGCGCCGCGCGTACTGCCGGCGAAGTCCTGAAAACCTACGGACCCGCCGCATATACTACCGGCGAGAAGTCTTGGAAACTACGCCCGTGCGATACTCCGCGCAAGGCGCTGAAAACTTACGACCCGGCGCGATTTACTGCGGACGAAGTCTGAAAACTACGACCCGCGCGATACTGCCGGCGAAGTCTGAAAACTAGACCGCGCGTACTGCCGGCGAAGTCTGAAAACTACGACCCGCGCGATACGCCGGCGAAGTCTGAAAACTACGGTCCCGCGCGATACTGCCGGCGAAGTCTGAAAACTACGGCCCGCGCGATACTGCCGGCGAAGTCTGAAAACTACGGCCCGCGCGATACTGCCGGCGAAGTCTGAAAACTACGGCGCCGCCGCGATACTGCCGGCGTCAGTCTGAAAACTACGGCCCCGGCGATTACTGCCGCGATGTCCTGAAACTACGCCGCGCGATCACTGCCCGGCCGAAGTCTGTGAAAAAGCTACTGACTCACGCGATCTGCCGGCGAGGTCTGAAAATACGGCGCCGCGCGGTATAATGCGGCAACAGTCTTTTGAAACTCACGGACCTCGCGCCGCATACTGCGGCTAGTCTGAAAACTACACCGCGCTATACTGCCGGCCGAAAGTCTGAAAACTACGGCCCGCCGCTATACTGCCGGCAAACGCTCTGCAAAAGCTACGGCCCGCGCTTATGCCGGCAAAGGTCTGAAAAACTACGACCCGCGCGATACTGCCGGCTAACAGTCTGGCAAACTACGGCCCGCGCATATACTGCCGGCCAAGTTCTAAAACTACGACCCGCCGCGATGACTGCCGGCTAAGTCTGAAAACTACGGCCGCGCCGATACTGCCGGCGAAGTCTGAAAACTACGGTCCGCGCGATACTGCCGGCGAAGTCTGAAAACTACGACCCGCGCGATACTGCCGGCGAAGTCTGAAAACTACGACCCGCGCGATACTGCCGGCGAAGTCTGAAAACTACGGCCGCGGATCGCGGTCGCAACCTGCTGCGAAATATATATCTCCAAAAACGCCAGCTCGGCTGAAAATGCTTGGATCTGATTGGCTGCGGGCGCCTTCTGTCATCCCCAATATTCTGTTTTCCTGTCCACCTCTGCTGCTGCGTCGTAGAGCCATGAATGAGTTTGTGGGAGTTGCAGAAAAATATTATTCTGTATGCTGTTGTCTTCAGCATCAATATTTTAGCCGTGCACACATTTTGTGGCGCGCGGGTTTCAAAACTAACGTTCAAATCACGGCTGCACGGCTCGCTGGCTAATACGTTGTATCAGGTCGTTGTATTTATCTCACGATAAGTCGGCGCGATTCGCAGTCGTTGGTAACGGTTTCACACTACGCGTAGATAGAGAGGGTTGTGGTCAGTGATGGTGCGGCTGAGATCACACCCGCATCCGCGTTCGCCGCTGTTCAGTCCCGTAGGTAAGCGTAGAATCTGCAAAAATCATTGAAAAAAATGTGAATAAAAAAAATTTATGGAAAATTCTCGAAGAATATCAAGCTCTGCTTAAACGTTGCCAGTTCCGCACCAGAGGGAGGACGGGCTGCCATTTCCGTCGTCGTGGTAACGGCGAATGCGCGCTTGTTTCAGGGTTCTCGGCAAGTCGACGCGTCTATCGATGATGAGGAATGCTGTCTGGGCGCTGTCCAATCTCTGCCGCGGCAAAAACCCACCGCCCGAGTTCGCAAAGGTAGGCAACCAATCGCGCGGCGGCAATGGCGGGTAGAGACGTGGACACGGCATAGCGGAGAGGAGAGGGTGTTGTCCATTGTTTGATTACGGTTACCTTCCGTATCTATGATCGTTCTGCAATCACGATTTCGGCTGATGCGAGTTCATTTTTTAAATTACTATTCAGTCCCGTAGGTGTCACTGCGATCACAATCCAACAGTCTACCAGTTTATTTTTTAATTACTATTCAGTCCCGTAGGTGTCACTGCGATCACGTTCCGACAGACTACTAGTTTATTTTTTAATTACTATTCAGTCCCGTAGGTGTCGCCTCGTCTGTCCGTCGCGCTGTGATCGCAGTCCAGCAGACTCCGAGATTCTTTTTTTTTTTTTAATTGCTATTCTGTCCCGTAGTGTCGCTCGTCTGTCCAGCGCTGTGATCGCAGTCCAGCAGACTCCGAGAGTTCATTTTTTTTAATTACTATTCGGTCCCGTAGGTGTCACTGCGATCACTCCCGACAGGGACACTACTAGTTTATTTTTACATTACTATCAGTCCGATAGGATCGCCTCGTCCTGTCCGTTCGCCGCTGATCGCAGTCCAGCGGACTCCGAGAGATTCTTTTTTTTTAATTCACTATCAGTCCACGTAGGTGTCGCCTCGTACTGTCCACGCCGCGCGTCGATCGCAGTCAGCAGAACTCGGAGTGAGTTCATGTTTTTTTAATTACTATTCCGGTCCGTAGTGTCACTGCGATCACGCTTCCACAGACTACTAGTTTATTTTTTAATGGCTATTCTGTCCCGTAGGTGTCGCCTCTGCTGTGTGCGCTGTCCGTCGCGCTGTAATCGCAGTCCAGCAGACTCCGAGAGTTCTTTTTTTTTTAATTACTATTCGGTCCCGTAGGTGTCGCCTCGATCTGTCCGTCGCGCAGTAATCGCAGATTCAAGCCGGCACTCCGAGAGTTTATGTTATCTAATTACTTTTCGGTCCCGTAGATGTCACTGCGATCACGATCCGACAGACTACTAGTTTATTTTTTAATGGCTATTCTGTCCCGTAGGTGTCGCCTCGTCTGTCCAGCGCTGTGATCGCAGTCCAGCAGACTCCGAGAGTTCATTTTTTTTAATTACTATTCGGTCCCGTAGGTGTCACTGCGATCACGATCCGACAGACTACTAGTTTATTTTTTAATGGCTATTCTGTCCC